TGTGCATCAAGCAGTACAGACAAAGCTTTAATACTGTACTGTATCTGTCAGCACACACTGGATTGGGCATCTAATCAGCATGCTGCTCTTACCAACTTGTATCCACATTTGATTGTGCATTTCTCTCTGACGCATGAAAAATAGTCTCAGGCATATTTTGATAGCACACTGATGTAAACCTAACACAGAGCAGAAGGACTGGATGAACAATCATACTGCTAATCCCACCTGCTCTGACACAAGAAATACATGTAAAGATATGTATAGATATCCCAGTTAACCTTAGCATCTGCCATCAGAGCAAAATCACAGCTGCACTGGAAATGGCACAGCAGACAGATCTGACTTTCTGTCAGCACTATCCCATCCCCATATTCTGGAGGTTTGGCTCTCCAGTGCTGACACAACCTGCAGTCTGTGTGTCCTTGACACTTCCCAGCAGTGGGACGTTTCAGCCCTGTGGGGAATGCAGCACACTTCCCATGGTATATTCAGATGACTCTGTAGGCTATTGGCTGTGAAACAGAATCACAGTTTAATTTTTTGCTCTTCCCTGTCGTGTTCAGAGCCCCATAAAGGTGATGCCATGAGGTCACTGCAAATGCTGAGACAGTGTCTTACTGTTGCGCAATATCACCAAGGGACTGGTTTTCCATTCTTTTCCCATGCAAATTTCCAACATGCTTGAAAGGATGTAAGTGTTTATAGAAAATGGAATCTAGTCAGAATTGTTCAGTCAGAGACAGGATTGTTGTGAGTAAGTTGTCAAAAATGGCTTTTTTCTCACGTTACTTCAGCGTGTACTTAATTGGGTGAGTCCAAGAATCCATGCAGTTTTTTAAGATCTCTGAACTCTTGGTGTTTTTATATCCCTCATGAGTTAGTTTTAGTACCTTCAGTTTCTATAATTTACTTTTACAGTGGGGGAGGATGCAAGTCCTTTTGCATATTTCAGTGGTGAGAGCTAAACTAAGCGTCATGTGAGTATTATGGTGTGTCCCAGTTTTCCAAACTGAGGCCATGTCCACTGTGCCATCTACCTGCTGAGCCTATCCCTGAGGAGGGCTGACCTGCATCCAGGTTCCACCTTGGCAGGCAACCAGGACATGATGGCATTCACACCTGGCCTCAAGAGCTCATGGCTTGAAACTCAGTTTCTTTTTTATGCTATAGATATACACTCTAAAGAGCAAAAGACAATATCAAGACTGAAAAACACTTGCCATCCAGATGCATGAAAAGTGCTGCTTTCTCTTGGGCAGCCTTCACAAAAAAAAATTAGAATAATAATCAGGCCTATTTAATGCTAATTTATTTTCTGCTGTCAAAAAGAGCTGATGGTTTATTCTAGCATTTTGTGCTCTGTTTCAGAATAACACTCAGAATTTGTAATCGGGATCTTAAGCCTTCCCTATATTCTTACGTGAGAGAACTGATAATACATAGTCCTGAAATATTATGTCAAAATGTTTGCTATTCTACACGACTATTTTTTAATATCACGGATTTAGTGTTTTCTTCAATGCCTACAACTCAGTTTTTCATACTCTCTTCCACACATCTGCTTGAAAATAAAGAGGGAAAAGTCATGGCATGTTAGAAAGCACCCATTTAATTTGCCTTTAATTCAGGGAGGCTGCAGGAGGAAGAAATGAAGAAGTTGTCACCCTGATATGAGAACAAAGCCAAGTGATAGTTGCATTGTACAAACATTAAGGAAACTCCCTGCTTTTTATAGTCACTTCTAGTCCTTTCAAATGACAAACCAGTTAAAGAATTTCTAGGTAGGCTAAGTGCTCTCTCTGGTATTTTAGAAAATGGAAGAAAACAGAAGGTAAAGCATATGTTGTGTTGAGAGAAATTTTGAGATTGAAGGTGTGATGCCACTTAGACACTGACAGCTGCAGTGGTCATAACTTAAAATGTCTTTACAAATACTAAAACCTTAGAAGCAAAATTCTGCTGTCATATGGAACATCACTGCTCAAAAAGCATGCAACATTTTGAAGGATCTCTTTGCTGTTTTACATATTATTTTTCTCATCTGTAACTACTGCAAATTATACAACTATGTTTCTACATTCTGTGTCTAATTCACTTATTTATCATACATACATCTTTTAACACTCCACAGTCTTGTCCTGATATTACCAGGAGCAAAAAACATAAGACATTTAAAAACACAAAGGAATCCACTTAATCTAATGAATGGGTTTGGCCATTTACATTCAACTCAGTCTGGATACTTTGTTTTTCTTACTACAGCCCACTGTCGATTTCGTGTCTGGAAACATACCAGCCCATGTTCTCAATTCTTCCCTTCAGTAGCCCTTAGAATTTATCCACGTTTAACCCTTCCATTAAACAGTGCTGCTTACATGCCTTTTCACTTTTCAATTTGATTGAATTACTCTGTCGTATTTGTTAATGAAACTAAATTCTATTTGGCCTTCACAGTTTTTTTTTTTTTGTGCACTAGGCTATGGGTTTATTGGGGTTTGGAGCCTTTCTACGTTCATAAAATCTTTCTGAATTTGCTGGCTACTGCATGCATCTGCTCCATTGATATTTCTGTGCTGATTCTCCTTACTGCTCTTCAACAGCTTTCTGGACGATCATTTCAATTAGAGCACAGTCTTGAGATTTTATTTTCCCTAGAAGAATTATGTAACGTTTATACTGAGTCATATTTGCCATCTGCTGATCCAACCATATAAACAATACAAATTCTTGAAAACCTGAGATTTTCCTTAGCATCTGCTTCTAATCTAATTTTTCACAAATGTGCAGGTTTATGCACACACTCCTGCCTTACAATTAGCTCTTCGCCGAATGCCGACACCTCTTCCGAGGCTCTCAGCAAAATTGAAGGAATCTCTTCAAGGCAGAGCATGCAGAGGACACATGTGAGAAGGTGTTTATCAGGCAATGCATGTGACTGCGTACAAAATCAAAAGCAAGGAGGGAATACAGGGAGGTTATGGCAACCTTAACACAAATTCAGAATGCAGGGTGCTCTTAGTTTATGGCTAACTTTGGAACTAGTTAATGCTCAAGTGGCTGGCAACAAGATACAACTTTTTAGTCCAGCTTTAAATTACAGTTTTCCACTGTGACTGCTGTGGCTAAGGACTTAAACTATAAATCCTAATTCATGTGATTATACAGTTATATATTCAAACCACATTGAAACACTTGTGATCACAGAATCAGGCCTTAAAATTGCTATTTATATCAGACTCAATAAGAAAATCTGTAGTTACAGAGTCCTTAATAATTTTATGCATGCGTTCAGTTCTCTGTCCTGCTGACAATATTGGAGAAGATATTTTACATCCTGAAAATTATAAACTATGTACATTATATTTTCTAGCTAAAATATACTCTTTTGTTTCTGGATGGCTTTATTGATGTGGATGACTTTATTGAAATGATAGATCTCCATAAGGATTGGGGTTTTCTTCCTTTGTAAGAGAAAATCAGACCCCACAACGAAATTTCTAACAATTTTTAAGATATTAAAATTTCTTAATTAGCTAATAGAAACACAAAAACAACTGTTACTGACAGGGACTAAAACAAATAATTTGTGAAATCAACAAGGATCTTTCCACTGCCTTAAATGTATCATAGGTTTGGTGTAATAAACAGTCTCCAAAAACATGACATTAGAATCCTGCCCAACACAATGTTATTTTGCCACTGCTCCCATTGCATCTTGTGAACACAAGAGGAGAGTGGGAACACATGGGAGGGAGAGTGTCACTGATCCCAGTGGGGGAAGGGTGAGGGATCATAACTTACTTGCCTATGGTCCTACCTACCCCAATTACTAACTAAAACAGGAACAATGGGCTATAATTTAGTTCTCGCACATGCACAGTATCAAACGGTGCATTTGTCAAGCATAGGTGCTGTGCCTATGAGTTGGCCAGCACTCAGTATTTGCAGCGTGGCTTGAAAGAACCCAAAATCCACAAGGAATTATGAATTTTGGTGCCCGGAAAAGTCACACAATTTAAAAGTTGTCTGTAACAGAACCGGGAGCTCCAGAAAGGCTGACAGGATTTGATACCAAATATATTCAGTTATACCTATACTCAGTATTTCTCATCCTTGGAAACACTGAGAAGCGGCGATCCTGGCGTGCGGCAGGTGCCGGCAGTGCCGCCTGCCCGATTCCCTCCTGACCTCCGCGGGGCCCGGGTTTTCCTGTCTGCCTGCACCGCTTCGCGCAGCGGAGCCGGCGCTGCCCGTGCGCGCCCCGGCGCTGGCCGGACGGGCAGGAATGCTGCCGGCGCCCCCGCCCCACACACTCGCGCACTGTGCCACGGGCCCCTCGCCCGGCCCGCACCTGCTGGCAATCGCCCCGCGGGCGGGACCCGCCCTCTGCTCCCTCTGCTCCCGCGCCCCCCGTGCTCAGTGCGGGCAGCCGGCCCCGGCCCGGCGCTGCCTGAGGCCGTTCGGAGCCGCCGCGGGGNGGCGGGCGGAGGGGCGCCGCGCCCGGGCAGCCACTGGGAGCGCGCCAGCCGCGTCTCCTCAGCAACGGGCCTGGCACGGCAGCGCTGCGCCTCCTCCCTCCCTCCGCCCGCTCCTCCCCGCTTCCGTCCGTCCGTCCATCCATCTGTGAGGGTTGTTATCCCCGCCGACCCGTCCGGCCATAGGGGCCGAGATTTCCAGCTCCCCCCGCCCCATCCTCTCAGCCGGGGCTGTGTGTGCATGGAAGTGGGGGGGAGGTTCTTTATTGGCCTCGTCCTCCCTCTCTCCCTCCCTCCCCCCTTCTTCCACACTCCACCCAGAAATGATCCAGTGAAACTAGGAGGAGGTGATTCTCCTCCTCCCTCCTGCTGCTGCTCCTGCTGGTCTGGAAGGGACTGCAGGAATCTCTGCTGTGCTCTGCTCTGAGGCAGGGTCTGGGGAGGGGAGAGCGTTCTGTGGAGGGAGGGGGCCGCAGTGCCCGGGGTGCAGCTCTCCCGGGGGGGGCTGCTTGGTTCCCGACCATGGGGAAGGACCAGGAACTGCTGGAAGCCGCTCGCACTGGGAATGTGGCTCTGGTGGAGAAACTCCTCTCTGGGAGGAAAGGAGGGATCCTGGGCAGTGGATCTGGAGCTATTCCCTTATCCAGCTTACTGAGGTAGGGACATCGTTCCTCATCAAATGCTGGGGATATTAACCTGTTCTTCCCTATCATCATTATCATTGCCCCTCTCATCTTCATTTCCATTCCTGCATCCTTCATAGTAACAATAAATCGTTCACTCTCTCGCCAAGTACAAGCATGCCAGGGTTTAAAGTCACAGGCAGTCATTTTATTAATATAGTGGTACTGAATTTCCTGCCTTCAATGCGTCTGCAGGGTCCTTGTTCATTCTGTTACTAGCTGTGGTGCAGAACTTATGTTTTGACTGCTGGGCTCATACATACAATGTATTAATTACCCTTCATTTGATATTTCCATCTTCAAATTGCTACTTTAATCGCAGAGGGAAGTGTTTATCACAGACAAGGCATTGCATCGTGGAATTCTGTGTAAAAAGACATAGCTTCACCCCATACCCTCACCCATAGCTTCTACCCTTGCTTGCAGAGGAAATTAGGCATGCCATCGTAATAAGCCTACAAAACAAAGAAAGGGAATTTTTTTTTTTTTTTTTTTTTTTTTTTTTTTTTTTTGTGGGAGATCATCGAGGCAGAGGAGGTGTAAAACTTAGGGAGCAGGTTAGGTAAGAGCAACATTACTTTCAAGGTACCTGGATTTAGTGGAGTGAAACTGGGTTACTGGCCATGTTGGGTGATAGGGCTTAACTTCAGACATTAGTTGTATCTCCTGCGATCTCCAGCATAGCTTTGATCGTAAGTTTCATCATGCTCTTAAGTCAGAGCGTTGTCACAATAATTTATGGCATTTGACTGTATTCAAAGCAGAGAAGGTCTGCAGTACACAGTCCAGTGCTAGTGTTCAACACTAAACTAGGCATAGCAAAAGAAGACAAAATGACCTGAAACACTGTTGACCTAGAACTTGAGTAAATTGGGGGTTTGGATTGGTTTTTTGTTCCTTAAAGAAAGAAAAGGCCTAGCACAATGGAAATTGATTAAATTAAAATGTATTTATGATTATCTTGCCAGTACCTCTTGTCAAGGTATTTATATTATTTCCGAGTTCCCTATCAGGGAAAATTTTATGTTAACTCTCCAAAATAATAGTGTTTATACTCTCTTACAAAATCTTGCTATTTTAAAACTAGGTTTAGTGCTGTAAACAACAACAGTTCAGGTATTCATAGTTTACCAAAGTTCTGTAGTGCCCCAGTTCAATTAGCTATTGCACCACTGCTGAATTACTAGCCCATTGACCAAAATCAAAACACACCATGTGATTGCTTTTTGTACTGTACTCGAATAAGCTGCTTAGGAAGAAGTGTGCCAGCTAGTCAGTTGAATTTGAAACATGATACCCACTTTTCTAAGTACAGCAGTAAGTTCAGTACAATGACTGGCCATTTATAATCTAATTCTAACACATGGTTTGTGCAGTGGTTTTCTCCAGGGCTAGTGCCTGTGCTGTATTCTTGCACTGTTGATTTCATGTTGTATATTGTGAGTTCTGTATATCCAGAGCATTTGCTTGTGCTTGCCTCCCTTTATTAAACAGCACTGTTGTATGTTGTGCACACAGAACACGTGAACTGTGTGTTTTGTATACACAGGTGGGTCATCACAGTCCTTGTTTGTTACTCGGGATTGAAGAATTTTAGGCTGTAAAGTCAACTGGCTTTTTTTTTTTGTCTTTCCTGGAAGTGCACTTAGCTTGAAGAGAAGTAAAGCAGAGTAAAACATACACTGTTTAATTTATGGCATTTCTTACTAATGTCAGCAAGAATGTCTATGGCTTTCTGTAAACACAGTTTCAAAAATTAAGAGTGAACTTTCAGCTGTACACTGCATCCAGCTGTATGATGAAATATTTCCAATCTAGAAAGAATTCAGTAAGCATCATTAATGATGCTTAAATGTTCACAGTCTTAAAACACTGTGGATCATAGGACTTTTTAGAGGGTTCAGTAGGAACACTCAAAGCAGAAACTGGTATGCATTAAGTAAATGTTTTTAAAGAAAGAATTATATGTGATAGGCATTTTGACATAGCTTTTTTTTTTTTTTTGAAATGTTCCATGATCTAACTGATGCCATTAATTATGAATTCAGTCCAGAATGACATGCAAAATTAAGGTTGGATCTATCTTGGTACAGAAAACACGGAAACAATGTGAGAGTCATATGAACATCCTGATCCTGTTTGGGAAATCAACACTTATGGAAAATAGCAAAGCTGTAGAAGAGCCATACTTGTACAATATAAAAGTTTGAATTTGAGGGGGATCCAAAGATTTTTTTTTAAATAGAAAAGCTGAAAAAGTTTACTAGTAGAGCTATGTTGGTATCTTTGCATACAGTTTATTAGAATAAAAACTTTTGATAGTTGTTAAAAAAAAAGCAACAGAGAAAATATAGAGACATAAATTTTCTTAATTTTATTTCATTTTTAGGAATTATTTTGACAGTAACTCCTGCTGTTTTGTTGATCATAATTATTGCTCAGTTTCTAGAATGGTGCCCCAGGACTGTATGTGTCCCACTGTGGTGAGAAAGGTCCATGATGGTCTTTCTTTCTGCTCTTGGCAGTGCTGTTTCTAGTGTTAGGTTGGAAAAGTCCAATGCTTTCAGCTTGCATATGGACTAATACTGTGCCTGATGCGTTGGTCTGGGTGGTAGGACTACATTGATCCTTTGGATTTCTTCCAAGTCCTGAAGACAGCTCAGTTTATGTGGCTGAACGCTCTGTGGATAGACATGAGTTTCTGGTGGAAATTTGCTTTACAGTAATTATGTGCCCTTTGAATGAAATTTTGTATTCATAAATTGAAAAATACACATTGATTGTTATCTGAACCAATGAATAAACTATCTGAGCTCTGATGTCCTATTTACATTTTTATAACAGTTTTTTTTCTTAATGATTAATGTGTTTTATGGTACTTGGGGGGAAAATAGGGCAAACTTTTGTATGGGTATTCTATAGTTGAACCTATTTGTTGATGCTAATTGCAGACTAAATTATATACATTTTAAAGACCTGACTTCTAACTCCTAAGTCATTAAATTATGACAACAGTTCAAGAAAACAGCTCTGTTCTGAAAGGCTATTTAAGCACACATATAAATGTATAAAGGAATTCCTGTGAGAATTTAAACACATGCTTAGAGTATGTGCAAAGTGCATAAAAATGATATATGCTTAATTAAGACCTCATATGCACCCTGATATCTGTAATACTTACTACATAATATCTCGTGGCCAGACTGGTTTATCTAAAGCAATGACAACAAATCAGTGATGTTTGACTGTGTGGACTGTACCTCATTTCAGCTTAGGAGGAGCTTTGGAAGGCTGCTCTGGGTCAGTTTGTGCCCCCTGCCTCAATATCCATAGTTTGTTCTTTATTATAAAGATTGTGGCTCAGTGTAGCAAAGGTGAATTTCTCAGGTGGAAAGATCAGCATAAAGCATTGCAACATACTAGAGCAAGTAACCTAAGTAAACACCTGAGGTAATTTAGTTGCTTAAACTTGGGTACTTATTGGTACTTTAGGTGCCCAGGTGTTTTCTGAATGGAATGATGGACTTTGACAAAGAACCAGGAACTCTGGAGATACATCTAAATTCTTGGGGTGATACACTAGGGCGTCTGAAGCTGTGTTACATGTTTTGCCTATGGTCTCTAACCCAAAACATTAGTGCAGGGCTGGGGTCTCTTCTTTTACTATATTGAGACACCTCATAAAGCATTCAAAGTTTAGAAGACTTAAGTCTAAATTTATTTTTTCTGTTTCTTTGTGGATTCCACTGCCTGGAATTGTCATACATTAGTATATAAAATATGTTTCATATTAAAAAAAATTTTTTTTGAAGTTTAGAATTAGGGATTTTTTTTCCAGATTGCAAATAGAATTTTCACATATTTTTATGTGATTTCACTGGCTCTTATATTATTCCAGTGTAAACACAAAAACTTGACAGTAAAATCCGACAGTCTTTCTAACAGAATGTATCATTTAATTTCCGTATCCCAAATTCTTAAATGTGTATTAAAGGATTTAACACATAGGAAGAGTAAAGTGTTTCTAACAAACCTGGTATTTTAAATTTACTTCATTTGATTATCTCTGTATATGTAGCATGTTTTAATTGACCAATCAGTTTTTCATTGCTGGATAAAGACAGCCTTCATTTCTTTCAAAGAGTTTTTAGGACAAATAACTTTGGAGGTTTTAATGTATGTCAGAGACCTTACCTCATTTTGCCATGTGTAGCCATGCACATGCCCGTTTGTTCTAAGTTACTAGCAGGAATGGATAGTTTTTGATTATAGTCTTTTTAAACTGTAGATGTCAAAAGAGCTTTGCATTTTTAACAGGACTGTGGGATTGAATATTAATTAATATGAACTGGCACAGAGTAGTAGGGAAGGCTGAATTGGCCCTTTTTTGCTCTTTGTTGGCTGCTGCCATTACACAGCATGAGAGGGTGGAGCAGCCTGCCTGGAGCTGGTTCTTTCCCCTTCCACATTTGGCACTGTGGCAGGGAATGGTTTCTTTCCTTGCTCAGCCTTACTTAGCGCAGCTACACCATGTGTAGGCCTGGCCCAAGTTATTTCTCCTCTAAAGTGTAAGAAACACGGCAAGCAGATTGTCAGTCTGGGAGTTGCAATCTGTTTCCTCATCTGTTTCTCAGAGCAGTGTCTTGCTTGCAGCAAAGCCACAGTTTAGCCTGATGGCCTCAGTGCGTGCTGAAAACCACACAAATCCTCTTCTGTCCTTGTGCAGAGCCCTCTGATTCATTCAGCTTCCTTTGCAAAAACAGATCACACTTGGTAGGCCTTGTAGAGCAGCAAATATTTGAAATATTGAAATAATCTATGAAGTTTTAAAGTTTTTTCATGTTATCATTTGAATAACAAATTGATCATCTTAACAAGAATAAGGGATCTATTTCTGTTTATCATTACAAATAGCATTGTTTAAAGTAAGGGGAACTTTCTTATGTTCTTTTATAGTGAGATAGTATTATGTG